CCAGATTATAACTCTGACATGTGTCCTCCTATGGGCAGCAGGGTCTATGCTAATAGTTTTGTGAGTGTTAACTATGGTTCCCACATTTATTCTTTTAAATAGTACTGTATATTTAGAGATGATGGATCAAAGTGTATGGAGGTCCAGAGCCTTGTCCAGAAGTGAGTGGGTAAGGTTGCTCACCACCAACCCTGAGGACCTGAGTTCAATCCCTGAGTCCCACAAGGTGAAGGGAGAGACCTGACTCCTTCAAGTCATCCTCTGACCTCCACCACACATGCCCCTGTTTCCCTAAAAATAATTTATTTTTTAATTGTGAAAACAAACAAAACCTTGTTCAGTGTCTTAGTGAGGGTTTCTATCACTGTGAAGAGATACCATGATTAAGCAACTCTCATAAAGGGAAAGCATTTAATTGGGGTGACTGGCGTACAGTTCAGAGGTTCAGTCCATTACTGCCATTGCAGGACAGTGGCGTGCAGGCAGTGGTGCTGTCGCTAAGAGTCCTACACTTGATAGGCAGGCTAGAGGAAGTGCTCCGAGACACCGGGTAGTATCTGGAGTATATAGGAGACCTCAACGTTTACTGCCATAGTGACATACTTCATTCCAACAAAGTCACACCTCCTAATAGTGCTACTCTCCCTGGGGCTGTTTGCTTCCAAACCACCACATTCAGTGCTGCTAGATTTAGAATTGAAAAATAGTGATGCTAAGGTCTACATATCGCCTTAGTGCCCTTGTCACTGGCTACTTAAAAAAAAATAAAATAAAATCTTCAACACATAGTGCCCATGCTTCATACTTCCAACCAATATTTCCCAGCACGGAATCAAGAGCTATTATTGCTATATGAGCTATCACCTGTACTTTCCCATGCTTTGAAAAGAAACCTATAGGAATATTATGTTGATTTTTAAAAATGTAAAACAATTCCTTCAAAATCTACAACAGAGCCATGATGGGGATATCTTCTAAAGGAAGGAGTTTGGAGAGAATGACACCCAAAATCCCAAATATTGTTTATAAATATTTGTTTGTTTTCATTTAAATGGGGTTGATTATAAATGGTTAAGGATCACAACCACTCTCCTTTTAATGGAAAAAGGGGGATTATGATATAGAAATGAATACTTTGTATTGGAATGGATTTTCATTTATTGATACTGATTCAAGGTCAATTTTGTGATATGTATATTTCTCTTGTTTAGATATTATTCTTATATAGCTCATTAAAAATTTAATGTATAATTAAGTACAAATTATAGTTACCTATAATAGTCAAAACTTATAGTTAGGTGAGTTAGATTTTCTAGAAATACAGAGATATATTTCAAATGGATAGGCATTTTTCAAACCTTTCAAAGACCTACAGAATATGGCATTTAAAATGGTTTAGGGTTTTTCAAGTCAAAGAGATGCAACTGCTCCTGGCAAAAACCAATTACTTCAGAAAGGAAGATGGGCATCAAAGAAACTCGCTATGGAGATTTCCTTTGACATGGTAAAAAAATATCCATTTGGGCAAGAAACTGCTCTTGACTGGACTGTTTGCCTGTTGCTGTATAAACTGGACATACAGGACCCACAGGAAAGTGACTGCTGAACTTACAAAACAAGATGAACAGTCCTGAAGAATTCCGGTTTCATGGAGGAGTCTGCCAAACATTCTGCAAGGCACAGAGGAAAATGACTGACAAACGGCCAATACAGGTGGACAGTTTCAAATTTTTTGCTTTGATGAGAAGTCTGTCAGACACTAAATGGCCTATGGGCTGAAGATGGATGCCCCAACATTACAGAGGAACTTTGGATGACTGTCCAGGTAGTAAGATGTTTCTGTCATTTCTATAGTTTATACATTAATCCTTCTGTGGTCTTTGATGGAGTTGAAGACAGACAGTTATGATTATAGTCTTTCTTACTTAAGATAAAAGATAAGTTACATGTAATACTTAAGACTCACAAAGATAGGGTAGATGATGGAAAATCTTGCTAAATGTTAATTGACTAGATATTGTAACTATAGTTCTTACTTGATAACTGTTTTGTTATATATAAAGTTAAAACGTTTCTTTTTATTTAGACAGAAAAGAGGAGATGATGGGGATGTTTTCTGTAATATGCTTCTCTTATTGGCTGATGAGTAAAGTACTGTTGGCCAATAGGGAAACAAGATAGGTGGTACTAGGAGAGGATGATTCTGGGACAGGTAGGCAGAGTCAGTTACCATGTAGGCTGCTGGAGGAGTAACACCATGCTGGGCATTACCTGGTAAGCCATAGCCTCATGGCAATACATAGATTGATAAAAATGGGTTAGTAATTAAGACAGAACTATCCAATAACAAATGCTAGTCACCAGACAACAGCTTTATAACTAATGTAGCATCCATGTGTTTCTTTGAGGCCGATGTGGTTGTGGGGCCAGTCTGGCGGGAAAGACTGCTCGTAACAGAGCCAGGCCTTGTGGCTCAGCATATAATTCCATATTCTGAGAGGCTGAGGCAGAAGCACCATGAGTTCAAAACCAGCCTTGTCAGTTTAGTAAGATCTTATGTTAAAAAAAATTGTGTGTGTGTGTGTGTGTGTGTGTGTGTTGATACAGCTCAATGGTAGGATATTTGCCTAACTTATATGCATGAAGCCCTAGGTTTCCATTGTATCTAGGAAAGTACAGTAGTGGGTATATTACTTCAAATTAAAGCAGAAGAATGCAAATTAGTAATTACCACTATTTATCCCACTTCTGCAGGATATAAGCAAGGGACAATGGAACCATAAATGAAAAATGCCAGACAAAATTCTTGCCATTGTCGCCATGAGAATCTAGCTAAGGAGACCAAATCTACAAGTCTCTTCAGTGTGTGTGCCCGACACCACAGGAAAAGTCCTGCTCTGATGTGAGCACTTTGTATTTGCATATCTTTAATGCAGCCTAACTACATGACTATATCTAACATCTATAATCAGGAGATTTTATATAAGCAAAGCATACTTCTGCTTTTAGCTGATGTGCTCTACATTGTAACAGGAGTCAGGTCACTTTCATATATGAAATCATATAACCCAGATAAAATGTTTGAAACAGAAGACAGGAAGAGATGCTGTGAACCCCATGACTATTCCTGCTGAGGACTAGAGAGGAATTCAGGCCGCCATCTAGAAAGAACTCAGGCTCTACCTGGCAAATTCCCAGAACTGAGTCAACAAAGCTGTGAATCTGGGGAGACAAAGCGGGCAGGGGTTCACAAAACACAGAATTTGAGACAGAACCCTAGAGGTTTGCAAAATCTCCTGAGTGTTGATCGATGCACGTGGGTGATGAAGCTACCCACAGTTAATTAAGGACCACCTAAGAAGATTACAACAGAGCACCGTGACCTTACATTGTATTAGAAATCCTTCCCATGTCTGCTAGCCTAACTTGATGATAGGCAGATTGCTCAGAGGTATTTGTCTTTGTGGTAGCAACAGTTAGCAACTAGTTTCCCACTAAGCAAAGTTCCGAATGACCAGAAAATATCAAAATCCTGACCTGAAAGAAGCAGCTGCATCCCGGCGCAAAGTTCAAGAGTATTTGGCCTTTATGGGGACACAAATATCCAGCATCCAATGAAGTAAAATTCATAGAACACGGTGTTCATTCAAGGCATGCAAGGTGTGCAAATTGAGGAAAATATCACCTTTGAAGAAGAGAAAAAATTCCATGAATGCAAAACAACGCAGAACTCACACAAATATTAGAACAGACAAGGCTATTGATAAATTTTGTTGTGGTATTTTACATGTTCAAAACATAAAACAGTGCCAAGGAATATTCTAAATTTGAAAGTCAGGAGATGAAGACAATGTTTTAGGTAACATACACTGGATTGAATTAATGGAAAATTAGACATTGAAGAAACCACATCAAGTGCAGAGAGGATATAGAATAGAAAGTTGTACATTGTTGTTTAGAATATAAAAGGGTGAGATGATTTTGGAATAGTTTGTCAGTTTCTAAGAACATATATGCTTCTCATATAATCTAGCCACTCACCTTCTATGTATTGATCTAAGGAAAATGGCATTCATGCAAAGACTTACACATAAGTGTTCACATCAGCATCGCTTGTGACAGTTTGTTTGGTTTGAATCTGAGGTGTCCATGATAAGGTCATGTTTTAAAATGTGCACTCCCAGCTGGTGATGCCACACTGAGAGGCTGTGGAGCCTCAGGAGGGATGCCTAAGCTGGCTTTTGAAGGTCTCATGCCTTTTTCTCTTCCGCCATGCTGAGAAGAGCTGCTGGCACTTGCCCCCACTGCCTTGAACCAAGCTGCCTTCTTCGCCACAACAGATGATTTTTGAAAGCTTTTTGAAACCAGAAACCAAAGAAACCTTTCCTTCTTCAGTGATTTTGTTAAATATTTAAGTCACTGTCAAGCAACATTACTTATACACGTGGAAAGCATCCAAATGTTCTTCCGTGAATGCATAGACTGGCAAGTTGTGGTAGTCCCCAGTAGTCACTCTATAGGACTGGTTCCAGAACCATCCAAAGATAACTGTGAGGATGCCTCTGTACTTCACATAACTTGGCATGGTATTTGCACATAACCTATGCATGTCCTAGAGCACACTTTAAATCATCTTTAGATTACTTATGATACTGAATGCAATATAAATGCTGTGTATATAGCTTTAATGTTTTATTGTTCAGAGAATGACAAGAAAAAGTCTGTCATACCCAGTAAAGACAACAGTTTTAAAATATTTTTGATTTCCAGTTGATTGACTCTGACACAACACAGGTGGATAGGCAGATCCAAAAGAACATTTACAAAACAGAATTGCATTCAACAAAGAATAGAAATAAACTATTCAGAAACACCAAGCATTTGATGGATTTTACAATGAGAAACAAAGCAACGGTAGAAACAATCCAGGTGCTATGAATCCATGTAGTAAATATATACTTCTTGGAGTCTACCTTTTTTAACTTTTGAAAACACTAGCTGTGCTGACTTCTGCAGCATATACACTAATATTGCAACTGTACAGAGAAGGTGAGTATGGCCCCTGTAGAAGATGACATGCAAATTAATGAATTGTTCTATAGTTTTGTAAAACAAAACTGTACAATGAAGTGTACTAGCAGAAACCACTTCTGTGGTTGCCGTCCACCTCTGTGATATTTGCCTCTTGTTTAATTTTCTGCTTTTGGGTCCTTACTAATGATGGTCATGCCCCTTTTCATTTGTAGAAATGGTTGGAGCCTGGCCTACACCCACTCTCTATGCTCTTTCTCTTTAAGATTTGAATATTGTCTGGATGGATGGATGGATGGATGTCGGAGAGCATGCCCCACTCCTTGTCAGGGTGAGCTGCTTCTGCTCCTCACTGGCGGAATAGTGGGCCCTGCACCTCAGGAAGGTAACTTAAGAGAGATAACCCTGGCGGTGTGGGTGCAGGGGAGCTGGCCCTGATGGTACTGGAGAGCTGGTTTCGGTCCTTGCCAGCTGCCATAGATAGGAGAGTTGGTCCTGTCCCTTGCCTGGGCAAAGCAGGAGATCTGGCCCCGCTGGCACATGGGCAGGAGCTGAGCAACTCAGCCACCCCCTAGGCTGAGATGTAGGGCTATGAGGCAGCCTACCCCAACACCCACCAAATCTATGGACTGCTATGGCGTATGAAGAGGCCAGTTCTGCAGACCCAACACAGGCCAAGAGCAGGGCATCTGAGAGGAGTCCCAGTGAGGACACAGTATTGATAGCGTAGCAGAAACCAGAGACCTTGAACCGGACAGTGACTCATTGCAATGAACATCTGCAAAAGAAGCTGTGCAAGTAAAGCTGCTTAGGCAAAAAGGCGCTCTGTGTGACACACGGTGACACAACACAGCTACCGTGGTGAGATTTTTTTTCTTTTTTCTTTTATAGATCAATCCCGGTTCTCTCTCCCTCCCTCTCTTCCTCCCTCTTTCCTTCTCTCTTTTCTTCCCTCCTTCCCTCACATCCCCTCCCCCAACCACCCTCCCCTCCCACCCACCCCCCACTCCAATTCTATATGTAGGGCAATGCCATCCAGTTGGGGTCATGTAAATCTGTCAAGTCATTTGGAGTAGGGCCTAGGCCTTCCCTCCTGCCTCTATGTTAATGGAGTATCCCTCCATGGGGAATGTGCTCCCAAAGTCCCTTTGTGCACCAGGGATACATCCTGGTTCCACTGTCAGAGGTCCCTTAGACTGCCCAGGCCTTCTAACTGAGACCCATGTTCAGGGGGTCTGAGTCAGTCCCATGCTGGATTCCCAGCTATCAGTCTGGGGGGGGGTCTATGAGCTCCCTCTTCTTTTTAATATTTTTATTTTTTAAATGTTTTGTTTTCTTTTAGGTGGCAGTTGCAAGGACAGAAGGCAGATATGGAGGGATGGGTTGAGGACTGGGATTGGAGTGCATGATGTGAAATTTACAAAGACTCAGTAAGTAAAACAATAAACATTTGTATATTGTTGACAATGGCAAGCCCAAACTTTACATAAGCTTCTAGAGTTTTAGGGATTTTTGAATGCTTGAACATTTTGTATTATATAGGGTATGTTCAATATGTACAGCCATTTTAAAATCATTTATACTATTAAATGTTTGAATGTCATTAAGAACTCTACATGCTTTGCTTACGGGAATGAAAGACCAATAGAAAGCAAGTAGAAGTAAGATTGGTTTCAGTGTATGCATGGAAATAAATATAATTTTTAAAATTAAAATAATATTACGTAATGATTATCAAATATGGCTTTGTTTAAAATGTATCAGGCAGACCATTAAAACTACCTAGTAGTATCTGAGCCCTAAAGCCTACTAAAAGACCCCAAATCTTTGGAGGTTGGGGGTCTTTGATGGTACTTAAAATAGTTTTCCCTATGTGATCCAAGTTGCTATCTGTTATAATAACTGTACATACAGCTGTAAGATCATGCGTAGAAAGACTTTTCCTTGTCATTTTTAAGATGAATGGCCCTGGGTAAGGTATCAAAAAGCAATACTCATTTGTGCTGACTGAACATTGAAGTTATCTGATCCTAGTGCCTGGGTCTGACCTGCTTTAATTCCTATTTAGTTGGCACAGAGCAGCTGAGGTGCAGAGCTATATTTAAGCAATATATCAAATTTTCCAACGTGCAGGGGATAGGAATGCAGGGGATAGGAATGCAGAGTTGCACCCACACCTTACTAGCAACACAAGGGAGAGGAGGGCATCCCCCCTCCAATGCAGCACTGGGGAGAGCGGGTCCCTGCACCTAGCCTGAGCCGCAGGACAGCAGACGGTGTTGACAGGGACGTGGGTAAGCTGTCCCTGAGAGCAGGACAGAGAGAGCTAGTCCTGACCCACCTTGTCTAAGGCCACAGTGTGGGTGAGGGAAGGTGCCCCAACCCCTGCCCCTTCCCAACCGTGGCAGGCTGGGAAAGCCAACCGGGCCCCTCACCAACTGCAGAGCTTGGGAGAGTGCGCCTTGCACCGCACCTGGGCATCAGAGTAGTCCTGACCCAGTGAGCAAGGGCACAAGTGTAACACAAATACAAAGCCAGAGACAGATAACGGGGTTCAAGCTGGAGATCACAGAAGCAAAGCAGGCAAGCTACCAGAGAGCTCCTACCCCTACCAGGGCTGGGGTGATCCTGGCCTCAGTGTGGCTGGAGACTATTGCCACGGTGCAGCAGGAGACTCTGAGCTCCGGTCTTCTAGACCTTCCTAGTGCTGGGATTAAAGGTGTGTCCCAGCACCGCCTGGCCTCCATGGCTGTGGCTAGCTTTGCATTCTGATCTCCAGGCAAGCTTTATTAGATCAGAAGCAATGTATCACCACACCCAAGTGAGCCTGCCATGAGGGGGAGAGCTGGCCCACACCCCTTGTCTAATGTGGTAAGGTTGCTAGAAAAATGCCCTCTCCTCTTGCCCTTCTGCCACATGTGGGGGACGAAAGAGCTGCTCCTGACCCTCACCAGATGCAGCACTCAGGAGAGCGGGCGCGCTGCAGCTGGCCTGGGCAGCCCAGTAGAGCTGACTTCGCTGACAGGGCGCAGGTGAGCTAACACAGAACAACAGCATGAGCGATCTGGTCCCTACCCTCATCTGCCACATGACAGTGTGAGCAAGGGAGCCATGCCCTCCCTGCCCCTCCAGCCCTAGCCACCTGTAGCAGGTGGGAGAGCGAGCCCCCGGGGCACGTGAGCGGCCCCTCACCAGCTCCAGTACTCAAAATATCAGACCCTGTGGCCCTCCTCGGCAGCATAGCCGTGTTGATCATGCCTGCCGGGGCTCAGGGGAGCCTGCCCTGAGGACTTGACAGTGATAGAGCTGGCCATGCACCCCTTGTCCGCCATGTAGTAGTGAGGGCACGGGAAAGATGCCCTGCCTTTTGTTCACTGAGACCTATGGCAGGAAAGAGAGCTGATCCTTCCTCTCGCCAGATGCAGCACTCAGGAGGACATGGGAGAAGGAGATCCAGCCCTGGCCCTTGCTGCTTACGACATAGGGTGAGCTAGCCAGGGTGGTGCTGGTGTTGGGGATGAGGGAGAGCTGGTGGGCTGACCAATCCAGCAACTACCCAGACCCAGCACCAGGGCTATGAGTTGGCCCATCCCATCATCCACCCCCATCTATGGAGCACGTGGAGGGGCCAGACCCGCCGACCCAAAGTTTCAGGATCTCCATGTCACAGGACAACAACAGGATATCTAAGAGGAATCTCAGTGAGAGCTGAGAATCTATAGTGTAGCAAAAAATCCAGAAGCCGCGAAGTAGACCAATGCCTCGCTGAAATGAACACTTACAATTAACGACACTTGAATTACCAGGTGCACTGTGTGACTCACATTGTCACACTACAGCTTCCATGACAAGATGTTTTCTTGTCTTGGCTTCCTTCATTTATTTTCTCTTACATTTTGTTTGGTTTTATCCTGGGGGAGGAATTGTAAAGGTAGAGGGTGGGTGGAGAGGGATGGGGAGATGAGTGGGATGGAGATGCATGATGGGAAGCCCACAAAGAATCAATACAAAAGTTAAAATGAAAAACAATCAGATTTACTCTGTTTGAAGAAGTCCAAACTATTGAAGGACCGTGTAATGGGATATCGTCTTAAAACGAAAAGGGCTAAGGTGAAAGGAGACATTGCCAGTGTCTCAGAATTAACCCTATTCCTTTTAAAGAAGACCTTTATCTTATAAGAAAAGCACTGGCTTCAGATACCATGGATGTGGAGGCCAAGGGGTCTCAAATGGGATTGTGATATCTCACTTTTGTTCAGGAACTTATTGAAATGGGCTGGTTGATGGGGGGGGGGGAAGCTCATTGAAAAAGTAAGGCTTCCCGCTGGTAAATGATGTTAGTTTGGATGGTGAATGTGATCTTCTTCTATAGCAAAATAAGGGTCACCAAAATGAAGATGATGATCTGTGTCTCAGAGGCACCCAATTTGAGTACGTAAACATAAGCTTGCGCCAAGTCTCCCTGGGACTGACTCAGGTTGGCTAAGGTCAAGCACTAATATAAATAGACACATGCTTTTAGTCAGGCTGTTATCATTTATGAGGCAGACCTTCACTACTACCTAATAAATAAGTTCCTGCTCTTCCGATCCCATCCACCTCTCTGGTCAAGACCACTCTGTCACTCTGGAGAGTGCACATAAGCTTTTAGTCTTATCAAGTAAACTCTCCACCTTGACATGCAAACCTAACCAACCTGCAACTCTTTCATCAAACCATACCGCTTTGTAGGATGCTGTGCTCTAGCTTACCTCACCTGCATCTTTACGAGCATTTCCCCTTTGTACCTAGGGAGCCATGTAGAGTCTCTCGAGCCCTTACTTTGCTCTGTCAGAATTGTCACATTTATGTTGCTGTGACAAACACTATGGCTAGCAGCAGCAACTTGGCGCTATCACAATGGGGTTTAGATGTCAACATAGGAATTTTTGTGGGATGCAAGCAGGAATGTCCACAGCAGGAATGATATTTTTATATGCAAGTGACTAATGAGAAAATTAAGGTTCAGAGATATATTAAATAATTAGGATGAGGGCACACAGCTAGTAAGTAGAAGGACTGAAGTTAATATACCT